GTACAGTGGATGACAGCAGGAAGAGGTATTATCCATTCTGAAATGCCTGCTGGCGAAGGTCCTCAAAAGGGATTGCAGCTTTGGATCAATCTTGCAGCACATGACAAAATGTAACCACTTCCCCTTCTTTTGTATTTGTTCGAGAAATTATTCAATGGGACTGACACAATGTTACAGGATGGAACCAAAATATCAGGAGATTCTAAGCAACGACATTCCGAGAGCGGAGAACGACGGTGTCGAGGTTAACGTTATAGCAGGAGAGTCCATGGGAGTCCATTCTCCAATCTACACTCAAACGCCAACGATGTACCTCGACTTCACATTGAAACCAAAAGCTCAAGTGCATCAAAGCATCCCAGAGACATGGACTTCTTTCGTATACATAATCGACGGGGAAGGGGTATTCGGGTCGTTGAACTCGTCCCGGGTGGCGGCTCACCATGTCCTAGTGTTAGGACCGGGAGATGGGCTGAGTGTATGGAACAGATCTTCAAATCCATTGAGGTTTATTCTTGTAGCAGGGAAGCCACTGAATGAACCAATTGTTCAACATGGACCATTTGTGATGAACTCCCAATCTGAAATTGACCAAGCCATTGAGGACTACCACTATGCCAAAAATGGGTTTGAAATGGCAAAGCATTGGAGATCCCAGTGAGGAAAAAGAAAGAAAGCTTCTAGAAGACCCCAAAAGTGGTTGCTGATTGTTCTAAAAGGTCAGGGGTCAGCTTATCTTGGTTAAATTTTATGTTTTTAATTATTTTATTTTATTTTGTTTTTGTTCTGTTCTTTTGTTGTTTCTTTTAATATAAAATTTATAATTTAACCTATTTTCTGAAGTTGTTGGTGGAAGTAATGTGGTTTATATATATATATATATATATATTTCTTCTCAATCATTTTCATTTGTGACCCTCCAACTATAAACCACTTTGTAGAAAAAGGGAAGGAGGGTGAGAGATTTTGCATTTTGGGCAAAGGATTTCAAGTTTTCAATCTCCTTTCTCACCCAAATCCCCTATTTTGTCAACTCGCTGGTGGATATCTCCCATTCGTGTCCCATTCCATGCCATTATATTAGATTTGATGACCTATTTTTTTACTAAATAGGTGTTCTGTTTAGTAGATGCTGCCCATTTTAGTTTGTTACGTAATATCATCAATCTCGTGGTTTCAAAATGTGTATAAATGGCGACGATATGTAACAAGTCAAAGCATGCAATATCTATTAAGGTGGCCTTGGGCTATTAGAGTGATATCAGAGCCAACATGTCTTGTTTTTACTCACATATTAACTAACGTAAGTGAGGACAAATTCCACCTACTAACATGAATCTTTCTAGCATGTTTTGTCCTCATTCACATGCATTTTAGAAAAATTCTATAGATATCACCCAACATAAAATTGTTTCAAGTAAAACAAGCTTAATCGTTGACCTCCTATTATAATTAAACAATCGAAAGGGAAGGTGCACCTTGTTGATATCGATAGTAACTTTCAATTCTTTTAAACATTTCTTAGCCATCATAATTTGTAAGGTGATATATACTCTAAAAAACTATAATTCTATAGCCGAAAAATGAGTACATTTTTGAAGCATGGTATGAACGAAAGAATTATAGTATTGAGATGAGTTCCATCAACTAGAAAGTTGAAATGATCACAGCTCACGTTCAAAGTGAAATAGCTATGAGTTTGGCAAAGTTTCACTTGAAACCAAAATTTTCCTTCTCCCTTTTTTTTTGGGGGGGCCTTTTGAGTTATAATTGATTGAATGAAAGGAATTGGGAAATTAATGGAATGAAAATGATAGGAACACAAAATTTTCAAAGCTAGAAATCGAATTAGATTCCATTCTCTTTACCCCATTCAACGTGTTTACATTCGTTCCAACCCTTCATTTTTTTTTTTAAGTTGAGATTTTTAAATCTTACCCGAAAAAAATAACCCCCTAAACAGATCATTCAACTCTTCATTTCTCCCGTTAAGACCTTAATTGAGAAAAAGAAAAAAAAAACAAGAAAACCCTAGATGGATCATTCAAGATATGCTCTGAAAACAAAAAAAAAAAAACTGAGTTACGATCAATAACGTTCAATTTTATCGAGTGGTATAGCAAATAATGAAGATCCAACTGATAATGATTCATCCAAGAATATGTGTTCGTATCTGTTCTTACTATTTGCTTCAAATAATAATTAATACAAAAGAGTTTCTTGTCTTAATTAAATTCAAAGAAATAATTTCATTTCTATATATGGCAAATGGTCTTTAGATTGAATTGGAAGAGGCTGGAGAGAAACTATAAAGGAAACAAACAGAAAAACAACCAATTTGAATCACCAGACCAACAGAACCAGAAATCACTCAACTCTCGGAGCTTAAGAGATGAACATCACCTTGGACAGCAAGACAAATAGCTCTCCGATTGCTTAGATCCACCGTTGTTGACGAGGCTCACCCGGTTAACGGATAATTCTGCTTTGTAGGTATCCGAGTTCAGGACCTTCCTGCTGACATTGTTGTATATTTCTCGGATCACGATCTCGAATGCCCTTTTAACATTTGTCGAGTCTAGAGCTGACGTTTCCATGAAGAACAACCCTTCGGCCTCTGCTAGACTCGTGCCTTCCTCAATACTCACGTCCCTGATGTTATCCAAGTCACATTTGTTCCCGACTAGCATCCTTGCCACTGTCGTTTCGGAATGAGCTGCATAACGATTTCAATAAGATATCAAAACTCATAGTTTAAAGCAATCAGATAGGCATTAATTCACCAGCAAATGGGTGAAAGACAGCAACTCTAAGACAGAAACAATTGAACAGAGAAATCAAGCATGTGCAGCTGATGATAACTTCTATAACGCCCAAGACCACCCCTAGCATATATTGTCCTTTTTGGGGTTTTCCTTTTCGAGCTTATAAAGAAGGGTTCGTTCTCTTGTCCAATCGACGTGGGATCTCGCAACATCAAACTGATCATTTTCCAAGCCAATATGTCCACCCAAATTCGAAACTAAATCTTGTCTGTAAGCTGTGTTATAGGATCAACAAGATAGCTCTGTACGACTGTCCCACCCAGAGACACCATAACCAAATGAACTCGCCCAATATGCGATAACGAATATGGTATCCGAGGATGGTGACAAAACCGACAAAGTTGATCCTTGGATGTAAATTTGCATCAAATTCGTATCTAAATTTGCCAACAAAGTTTCACATTACGACTAAAACGAACAAATGCACGAGCTTACGGAGCAAACCCGAATATTTCAAAAGTACAAGGATCAAAATAGAGCAAGTGGTAAACGTTTCAAGGATCAAAGTAGAATTTAAACGAACTTCGTTTCAGCTACAAGATGAGGCTATGAGCTTCATCAAGTACTTGCACTTCCATTAATATCTAGGATATGAGATTCATCAAGATGAGGCTATGAACTTTCTTTCTTTCTTTCTTTCTTACTTGATTTGTAATTTATCGAAACATTTCATCATTTGAAACTTGAGAGAAACTCGAGCTTGATAATGACAAGAAAACAATGATGAATTAAGCATCAAATTTGGTGCTAATAAGGAATGAACAAGCAAAATCTTACTGAATTTCATTACTTAATCGCCAGTAGTTCTACAGAGAAAATAGGATCAGATCTGAATTATTTCAAAGAATCAAGAATGGCTATCTATTTCATACTATGAAGTTAGTTCAAGTAATTGAACAAAATCAAATCACTACAACCAAATTCCAAAAAGAGAAGAGTCCAGATCTAGACATCTCAACCTAAAAGCCAGAGAAGACCAAGATCAAAAAGAATAGAGAGGAAAAAGTTGAGGCAGGCACTCACTCTTGAGCTCGTCTAGCCATCGACCGACACTGTCGAAAGTGGAGCGGCGGCTGATATCATAAACGATGAGCGCACCGACAGCGCCGCGATAGTATGCAGAGGTGACGGCGCGGAACCGCTCTTGGCCGGCAGTATCCCAAATCTGAGCCTTAACTTCTTTGCCGTCGATATCCATAACCTGCGTCTGAAATTCGACGCCGATTGTGGCCTTGGAGTGGAGATTGAATTCGTTTCTGGCATAACGAGACAACAAATTGGATTTCCCGACAGCCGAATCTCCGATTATGACGATCTTGAAGAGATACTCCTCGCCGCCTTCATCATCAGACGACGACATTGCTCAGCCTTCGATTCTGCCTCTACTTCTCTTTCTCTGCAACTTTTTAGAGAGAGAAAGAAGAGAGAGAGAGAGAGAGAGAGAGACAGAGCAATAATGGAATGGAGGATGAAGAAACAGAGCTGTCAGAGAGACACCCTGCGCATGTAGTGCTAGTGGGAACGCCCCTTTTATTATATGCCTTCCAATTTTCCTTCCATTTTATTTTGCATTAATATTAATTACATTTTTTTTTGTTATTTTCTTTAATTTTTTAATCAACCATCCATAGAGTCACTCCGTCCAAACAAAATTTAAAAGCTTAGTTTTATTTAATTTTCTTAGCTGGAAAAAAAGCTTTGACTTTTTTAGTAGTATCCGTCTTTCTCGACTTACTATGGTTCGCTCCTAGAAATATAACCTCCTGACCCTCTCTCGTCAAAACCTTATTAATTCAAAGGAAATTGAGCCGCCAAGAGCAAACTGTCCCAGGAAGAATAAGTTGTTCTCTTACCGTTCACCCGGGTTTATATAAATCCAAAATTTCTAGCTTCAACGAATCTTCATTGACTAAAAACGATTGTCTGAGATAAACAGAATTTTTAAAAAATCGACAACCAAGGATTTGAATGCGAATAACGAAAAGACGGTCAAAGATAGATTTCCCGACTCGAAAAAAGTCAAAGCAACAAAAAAGAATTGTAGGGAGGGACCCATTTGCAATTATTTTACATGGAAAAAGAAGAATTAAGCTTATTATTCCACTAAATTTTGGGAATTAAATATGTACAAAAAAAAAAAAAAAAAAAAAAAAAAAAAAAAAAAAAAAAAAAAAAAAAAAAAAAAAACTATTGTTTTTGCTTTTTCTTTTAAAAATGGTAAAATTCTTAGGTACCATTCATTTTCCAACTCTTACAATTCCAAATGTTATGAGCATTCTTTGCTTCCACACGTGCAATTCTTAACTTCTTTGTTAAGCTTCTGAAAAAAAATAAAAATATATATTTTAATCTAAAAATGATCGGGAATGTAATTCAACTGATTTACAGATGATTAGAGTACCTGAATTTGATTTTGAAGGCCTTTGATGTGCTGCACTGCTAAGTCCAACATGTCTGAATAGCTCGTTTGCTGTAATAAAATATGAATAAGATAAACTTAAAAGGTTGAAATGACGTTACAGAAATTTACCCTTAAAGTTTGAATTGTACCTTATCCATGTTCGGAACAAGTTCTTGAAGTTTCTTCAATTTTCCACTGATTCTAGTTCTCCTCTCCTATGCACAAATTTAACTTATTAGGTTAAAATACGTCACACATGCAAACACGTAAAAATCTAAACGGACCCTTTCGGCGATGCTGCGAGGATGAGTGGCACAGCCACGTTTGGCTCGGATCTTACAAGGCACGGAGTCTTCTGGGATTTGAAGCAACCTCTCTACGGTTGCAATTTCAAAACTTGTTTGCGACAGACTAAACTAAAACAATGTAAAAAAAGAGGTCAAAAATTTGAATCTCGTATCGTTAAGTTACGTTATCGAGAGAACGTAAAATGAGCGTATACCTGAGAGTCGAGGCCGGTGAAAAAGTCTCCATCAGAGTGCAGAAGCTTGGATCTTTTGGGATGATGAGGGGCAGCGAAGGCAATGGAGTTGGAGGTGTCCCAAGAGTCCATGGCAAAGGCTGTGGGGGCAAAGGAATAGGAGCTGCTACCCTCCACGACACTCTCACTCATGGAAGACATTTGAGACACCGAATCCTGCCCACCACTGAAGCTCAGCTGTGACTTCAACCTTCCAATTCCTCCTCCCCCTCCCCTTGTCAATGAAAACCCTCCTGTTTTTTTCATGCAATAATACTATATTTATACCCAAAGTTTCGATTTTTTGTATTGTTGGATGATGAAAGTCCCACGTCGCCTAATTTAGAGAATGATCATGCATTTATAATCAAATAATACTCTCTTCATTGGTATAAAGCCTTCTAGGAAACCCAAAACAAAGCTATCAAAGCTTATGCTCAAAGTAGACAATATGTCATACCATTGTGGAGAGTCGTGTTCATCTAACATGTATCAGTGGTTACTCAATTTACGGTAGTGGAGTAGTGGATAATTTCCCTATTAAGAAGAGTAGTGGATTCCATTTTTATTCCATTATTGAAGATGCTTGAAAACAACTACGACAGTAGCCAACCAAAACTACATGTCGGCTTCCACCCAACTCAAGATCGGGATTTTTATAAATAAAAATTAAAGTCAAATAAACATCACTCACACCTCTTGCACGTGACTTATGACGTGGATTTAAATAAAATGCTTTATTATTATTATTTTTAAAAATACACCAAAAATATTGTTAATTAATCATAAAATTAAGAATTAAGAAATTTAGTTTTACAAAAACTAAAGGTTATTGATGCGATCGAAGAGGGTAATTAGGTCATTTTGAAAACTCGGCGGTATATTTTCGTAAATTTGACCAGCTAGTCAACGGCCATTGGCCTCTTGGGAACAAAGCGGTGAAACCACGCGCCGGCGAAGGAAAAACTAAATGAGAGAGAGAGAGAGAGAGATTACCGGTTCCTTCAGCGACGGAGAGATGGCCGAGAAATCCAGCCGGCGAGCTTCTCTGGCGAACCAACGGCGAAGAGGAAGACGATTGGCCACCATTGCCATTAAAATCTCTCGCCGTAGAGAAATCCTCAAGCGCCAAATCGTGGAGTCCGTACGGCCGTTGCAAGGCAGCTGCCGCCGACGATTTCAGATCGTTGGAAGTAGACGACGATTGAACAACCTTCCGAGAGGACTCCACAACGGAGGACTCAGCGGAGGAGAAGGAGTGACCACCGAACGACGGCGGCGTACGGAGAAACGCATCGGAGTCTGGATGGCGCTTCCCGATCACAGAATCGACGGCCGAATTCAGCAAAGAGCCAGGTGCAGAACCATAGCGAGTGAGGCCTCCACCACCGGAGGCGCCGCCCCCTGCGCCGGCGTGGGAGGAGGGCATGGAATTGTGAGAGGAAGAAGAGGAGGAAGTTGATTGGTACATATGGCGGATTTGGGGAGAGGGATCTGTATGAACAAATGAAATGAAATGAAATTGGAAGAGATTGAGATTGAGATTGAGATTGAGATTGAGATTGGGGGAAAAGCGATTAAAAATAACAGGAAATAATAAACTACTTTATACCTATAAATATTTAAATTAAATTAAATTAATATTTTAATAGATGCTTTTGCTTATTGAGGCAGTGCCTAAGGGATTTGATAATCTTACATGACGTTGATGTTACCACCCTTCTCTCTCTCTTCTTTCTCTTCGTAATCTGTTTAATGTTTTTTTTCAACCTTTTACATAAAGGCTTCAATTATTGTTCAATTATTGTAGGCTGAGTTCAAATATTAAACATTCAAAATATAAATATTATATATTTTTAATATTCATAAAAATTATATTCCAATTTTTATGTAATTAAAAATATTTTGAAGCAATTAAAAATGATTTTAGAAGAGTGGATAACACATGCTTGATCAAGTTGAGCTGCCGGAGGCTCTGAAAAAGGATGAATTTTGATTCGTTTTCTCTTTCCTATATTTTAACCCCCACTTGTCCAAAAAATTAAAAAATATATATATTTCAATGCTCCACAAATTTCCTATTTTCTTTATTAACGATAAAAATTAAATCTATAAATATTATTTCAATAATTTCCTTATTTCCTTATAAAAACAATTTAAATATTTTCTCAAAAAAGATGAAACCCAGAAAACAATTATTTGATATTTTAAATCTAATTTTTAAAATTCATATATTATGTTTATAAATTTAATTTTTTAAAAACTAACAATATACATACACATATTGTAATATATTGAAGGAGAAATTAGAATATTCCCTTAAATAATAATCATATTAAAAGAATATATATATATATATATATAATTGCGTATTTAATTTAATTTTTAATTTTTAAAATTTAGATATTTTGGATGGTGGGAAATAGCTAAAGCGTTGTCTTACATGGCGTGCGCTCAGTAGTCAGTCGGATTTCAACAACGCACCCAACTTGTTCCTCAGTTTTTTTTTTTTTTTTTAAATTAAATCTAATATTTATTTTATTTAATTAATTTATTTCTTAAACAATATTACAAAAATATTAAATGTTTATTAATTAATTTAGTTATTTATATATATATTTTTTTTAAATTTGAGATCTCGAGCTTAAAAGCTCGATATTTTGAGTAAATCTAGTTGCAAAGATCAAACCCACGAATGTCCGTACATATTTAGGGTTATATGTCATTTCTTTATTTTAAAAAAAAATATATTTTTTTTATTTTATCCATTTTTTATTCATTGGGAATCTTTAAAGATTCTTGTATTTGCATTTATTTCATTGGATTCCTCTATTTATTTAATTTAATTTCACTATATATATATAATTAACAAACCAATCATATACCATAAAAAGAGTGTTATAATTACACTAATAGCCCTGGTACCCAATTAACTCACTAATGGATCGCCAAGTTGTAGTAGTACAATATGGAAGTCTTGTTGGGCTTTACCCCATTCGGTGAATTTTTACAACTTCGACATAAACTGTCCCAGTAATAAAATAATTACTACGGAACTTTTTGTAAGTTTTACGTGACCTTCGATACATGCGTTCAATTAGGAGATGACTCACTAATAGTATAAGGACAAAACCCGTAAATTTTCAAAGTAAGATTAAAAAGTTTGAAAATGATTTATGACGTGTAGATATATGATTTCAATATGATAAAAAAAAAAAAAAACAAAAAAAAGTGGTGTTTGGTTGAAAATTAATTGAGGATTTGATTGGGAGTTTGAAGGTTAGCTAAAGATTCAATGAATGGGTATCGCTATCCATAATGCCGTCTTTGACTCGCTATTCAATTTCCATTAAAATCATTTTATTAGTAAATTTCAAAAACTTATTTCCAACTCTGATGAACGTATCAGACCACGATGTTGGGCCCATATAATCTTTGACTAGTTCTGATGCTCACATACACCTCGAAAACGTAGGCCCGTTTAATCTCGTATATGTCTTAATGGAATGAAAGATTCCTGTTTAAATTGAAAAGAGTGAAGGAAGCAGAAACAGATTTCTCTCGGTTAACTAAATATAGTCGAAAATAGAGATTATACTCTTATCACAAACTTAATTCCATCTAAGAGACAAGTGTCAGGCATGTTTACAGAACGGTTTGCATGAATTAATGAGCAAACTAGGTAGGTATATGAGATACATCGTACCTCTCACAAGAACATGAAAACATAACAAACTCAGCTTTATTCAAACTTACCTTAAAAGCTCAAACCAAACAAAGCAGATACCATAAATATATACATAATCAATGGTTTCTCATAATTTACGTTTATTTTATATATTTTTTATTATTATTTTGTTGAATGAAAGTTCCACGTCAGCTAATTTAGAGAATGATTATGGGTTTATAATCAAGAAATACTATCTCCATCGGAGGCCTTTTGAGAAGCCTAAAGTAAAGTGATAAGAGCTTATGCTCAAAGTGGACAATATCATACCATTGTGGAGAGTAGTGTTCGTCTAACATATTTATCAATTCGATTGGTCAGGTAAAATATACGACATTATTGACCTGATAAAAATGTTTATTGATATACAATTAATATTTAAATATTTAAAGACGTAAGGATCAATCTAAAAGTTGAAATTCGTGTACATGCTAGCTCAAATTTTTTAGTAACTTTTTTTTTTCTTTTGTTTTTTCTTCAAAAAATAAATAAATAAATAAAATTCAAACAAAGCATTAACTCGGCTATGGCATTGACATGTTTGGTGGCAAGAAATATGCCGACACAATACACGACCAATCAAATACTTTTCGTTTTGTCCGAAATTTCGTGGCTGTAAATGTTAACCATGGTTATTCTAAGTTCGAAAAGAAATATGATACTCACAAATGCTCGTGTTAGTATTGAGAGGTAGATGAGTTGGACTCAAATTATTTGTAGTAAAACTCGAAAAACAAAATCACAAGATCAAATGTAGCTCGTTCCAACACATAAGCCCACGTTCTTTAAAATACAACATCATATTATGAGATAAAACAATTTGACATTTTTCGATCAACGAATATTATTATTCAAAAACAAGTTTTCACGTTTTAAAAAGTTGAAAGATATTTTAAATACTTATTAACCAGCCTGTAAACCTATAATTAGTTTTCAAATACTATGAATTATCAGTATAATCCAATACTAAAACTTTAGATTCATCTGTACCGAGATTAATTACTCGATGACACACCGTGTAAAAAGACGTCAATTGGTCAAAGGTTTGACCTTTGTAATTGATAAGTAAGGAGAGAGTAGGACAAAACTACAATATAACGACAAAAAAACGTCTACTTATTGAAGGTTTTTCCCGAACGAAGAATATTCAACAAACTTAGCCCATAAGACAAAATACATGGGAAAGGGAATATTATGTTTCTCTCTCTTTATTTTCTTATTTATTTATTTTTATGGTAAAAAATAATAAAGAATTTTATTAATTCAACCATTAATATTAAAAAATTTAAAATATATTTTATATAAAATATTTTTTAAGTAATTATAAAATATCATTTATGGGTTTTTTTTTCTTTTCTTATTGTATAAACTAATTAAATCCAAAGAAAAAAAGAAAAAAAGAAAGGTTTAATTCAAATTAATATACATATTATTCATGGTAAGTTGTTAGAAAGATTTTTTTTTTTTTTTTTTTTTAATTTTATTCAAACGTGTTTTTCTTTAATATAAAAATAGTTTATAATTAAATAACGCACTGAAATAACGATAGGATTCTATCTAGATGTATAAGACCCACCTCTTTTAAGTGGCTCGATCATAGGAACTCCAAACTTAAACGGGAAATAATCATATGAGATCCCACCTCTGTTGATAAGGGGAACGAAGTAGGGTGTGGAAATCTCTCTCTAGTAAAGTGTTTTAGAATACGTAAAGAACATAAATATTCATTTATTTATTTATAATATACCGGAAAGTGTTTCACAAGTTTTGATTATTATATACCTAATTTTGTGATTGACTCAACCAATTCTGTGGATTTCTCCATTGAAACATGTTCAAGTTCTGAGCATTGCTACACAAAAACTCCATAGCTTTGTTGATTACAATGATAATTTTTCGTCTCCTATCGTCATAGCCGTCGTCGTCGCCGTCGCTGTTGTCGCTATCGTCGTCATCTTTCGGGTATCTTAACAAGCTAATATAAGTCTCCAAATCATGAACCCAAGAAGGGTTTTGCATGTTGAAGAACTCAAGAACCAATTCAACTCCAACGTGTTTATAACTATTGAACAAAACGCCTGGCATCTTTGTGATCGGGTCGTTCACGTTCACGATTCTCAAAACTTTTACTCCCAATTCTTCGCATCTTTCTTTGAAGCTTAAATTCCCAACTTTTGGACCTCCAAAGGAAAACACTGAAATTGGAACAGCTTCTTTGTTTGTTCTCTTGTTCAATCCTAGCTCAGCTATGTCATATGCTAGAAGAACGCCTAATGCACTTCCCATACTATGCCCTGCCATGGTTATACTCACCTCTTCATTCTTGTACTTGTTTAATAGCCTCGACACTTCCGAGAGCAGCTGCTCCCGGCAGCTCTCGAGCCCGAATTTCGTGCACTTTTCCTCGCATGTGTAGAGCGTTAGAAACCCAGATACGACCTAGAAAATTTAAGAATATATGTCACTCGATTACTAAAGAGTTACAAAAAAATTTAAGCTTTTGGACTAATTGAGTAAAGTGTTGGAAACCCAAATACCTGGAAAATGTAAGAATATAAGTCACTCGAATACTAAATAGTTACGGAAAAAATTTAAGCTTTTGAACTGATTGAGTAAAGCGTTAGAAACCCAGATACAATACGACCGGGAAAATGTAAGAATCTAAGTCACTCGGTTACTAAATAGTTCAAAAGAATTTAGCTTTTGGGTTGATTGAGTAAGGTATTAGAAACCCAGATACGAACTCGAAAATGTTAGAATATATGTGACTCGATTACTGAATACCAAAAAAAAATTGAAGTTTTTGGGTGGATTGAATAAAGCGTTGGAAATCGAGATACCACCTGGAAAATGTGAGAATATATGGCATGTAATTACTAAATACAACAAAATTTAAGCTTTTGGACTGATTGAGTAAAACGTTAGAAATCCAGATAAAATACGACCAGGAAAATGTAAGAATATAAGTCACTCGTTACTAAATAGTTCAAAAGAATTTAGCTTTTCAGTTGATTGAGTAAGGCGTCGGAAACCCAGATACGACCTCGAAAATGTAAGAATATATGTGACTCGATTACTGAATACCAAAAAAAATTTTAAGTTTTTGGGTGGATTGAATAAAGAGTTGGAAACCAAGATACCACCTGGAAAATGTGAGAATATATGGCATGTAATTACTAAATACAAAAAAATTTAAGCTTTTGGGTTTGATGGAGTAAAGCGCTAGAAACCAGATACGACTCGAAAAAGAATATATGTCATGCCTAATAAAAAAAAATTAAGCTTTTGGGTGGATTGAAAACCTTGACATCGGGCCGATAACTGTAACAGTCGAGGTGCGCAGGTGTGAGGGAGCTCGTTAGAATCGCAATCCATTCAGGGATCGTTACGGTACCTCGGAAAGTGATAACAATGTCTCGTCGACCGAGTCTCTTACTCATATAATCGGAGGAGACGGCGACGTAGCCGATCCACCGTCCGCAAGCGGGTGGGGAGTTTTGGATGGGAGGAATATGGATGAAGGGAGGGGTAGCATAGATGTATTTGGACACTTCATAACCGGAATTCTCCAACCCTACTTCCTTAAACAAATTCTTCTTTCCAAATTTGCAAGTTAAATACCGTTTGGAGTTTGGATCAAGATCAAAGGCTTTATAACACGCCGCCACAAACTCGCCGTACCGGATAACTTCCCGCCGTAAAAGTGGATGAAGATTAGGTTCCACGAGATCTTCCCAGTTATTGCACCCATGAATCTGACGCCATAAGCTTGTGAAACCGGCGTTCTTGTGAACCATGGCGGCGGTAGAAGAAGAAGAAGAAACATTATCGGATCTTTTCGGGAGCGAAACTTGGCCGAAGGAGTGAGAATTGGAGCGAATTGTGTCGGAAAACGTGAAGTGGTTGGGAATTGAATTGAGCTTCAAAGTTGTATGCGCCATGGGAGGGGCTTAAATGGAAACAAAAAGAACAGGGGACCGAGAGAACGGTCTGAATTTCTCCAGGGAAGAGAGATATATAGAGGGAAAAAAATGTTTTTTTTTTTTTTTTTTTTTTTTTTTTTTTTTTTTTTNTTCTTGAAATTTAAAAAACATTTTATTTGGTAAGATAATTATTTTCTTAAAAAACATTTTATTTAATTATTTAATGTAATCTAGCTAACTGATTCGGTATTTAAAGTGGATTAAATTCGAATAAATAAAATCTTCCCAATAAGTTTGGATAAATTTGTTAATTTTTTTTTAAAAATATTATTTATCTCAATCACACAAGTTACGTTAAATTTAGCGGACCAAATAGTCCTTATAGTTATGTCAATTTAGTGAATACTCTTTATAATATTCGTCTCGATAGTTAAATAAGAACCCTAAAAAAATAATGAAGGACTATTTAGAAGGATTTTATGAATAAAAAAAAATGAAATTTTAATATTTATAATCGTAAGAACTAATATACATAAACGGGCGAAAAGAAAAGAGGGAAACAGAGAAATGGGGGNGGGGGGGGGGGGGGGGGGGGGGGGGTTGAAGTTGAGTATTCAGTTCGAAGTCGAAGAATTCAAATTCCTTGTAATCTAACGTGCAATGGTGCACGTGACGATGGATGTATTGTAGATTTTGCAAGTTACGACATGTATTTATGAGTAGTGATATTCTTGGTATATTTGATCGTGAAGTGATAAATCCTAAATCTGAGTATTCGGACTAGGTTATTATGTGTGGTAGTAGAGTTAGACTCTATCGAGTACCAAAATAGATACATGGATGCTGTTGAGGACTATATATTAGCTAATTTAGGAAATGATCTTGAGTTTATAAGTAGCAAATACATCTTCATTGGTATGAGGCATTTTGAAGAAGTCCAAATAAAGACATGAGAGCTTATGCTCAAAGTCATGTCCTAAACTTAACCATGACATTAGAGACCTCAAATATCGAACAAAGAGTTATGAGCCTCGAAGGTGTAGTCAAAAGCGAGTTAAGTCTCGAACAAATGATGTAGTTTGTTCGAGAACTCCCGAGAATTGAATCGAGCCTTATAGTGTATTTTGTTCAAAGGGAGGTTTATTGAGGATTGACTAGAAATACATTTCTAACAGATGGTGGGGATCCGTGATTTCTAACCGAAAACGGGTCACAAATATAAATCAAGTGATAACGAGGTTCTTACTATCATAACTACATTACCGAACGGACCAATATCTTTGGGTTGGGACCCACCCAAGGGATTAGACTAAATTTTTGGAGTGATGCAAGGCAGGAGTGGAAATTGACCCCTAAAAATGGGATCACCTCACTTGGTGACCTCAACAACTTTCCATTAAACGCTTATTTCCGTTTCCATTAATTCCTTCTTTTCATAATACATTGAACTACACCAATAATTTTAATATTTACCCATTTGAATTTAATTTGGAAGGTTAATATTATTTTTAATTATATTTTCATTTTTTTTTATTTACAGTATAATTTTTATTTACAAACCTAAATAAATTTCCACAAATAAAATAAAATATAAAAAAAATTAAAATTTAATAATCTTAAAAAGAGTTTTAAAATAAATTTTAATTTAAATATTACGACTATAATCTCTTAGGATATTATAATTTAGAATAGAAAAAGATATTTATTTTCTTTTATATTTCACGCATTTATCTTATAGTTTTAATTACTTTTTGTCCTTTTAATTTCTTTAATGTATTAAATATAAATCTTATAATATCCTTTTAATAAAGCTGATTTAATTTTAAAATGATTTAAAATTTTATGTATTATTAATTCTTTTTATACCAAAAAAATTTAAGATATTTAAAATTGTCGGGACTAGCATTGAGATGCTAGGAATAACGTAATGAGACAAATGTATACACTAACACGTAATTAAAAAAAAAAACTCGTCAATCTAATTTTTAATTTCGGGTTGGTCTAAGAGATTTTTCTAATCTATCCAGTATGCGCTCTTATCTAGTCTGATGTCCCACGGCAGTGTGCCAGTAAGGATGCTAGCCTTAAAGGGGGTGGATTTGGGGTGGTCTCAAATCGATTGGATAAAGGAACGAGTGCCAGCGAGAACGCTGGGCCCCAAAGAGGGATGAATTTTGATGTCCCACATTGGTTGGGAGGAGAACAAACCACCATTTATAAGGGAGTGGAAACCTTCCCCTAGCAAATGTGTTTCTTGAGGGGAAGCCCGAGACAGAAAGTCCAAAGAGAACAATATTGGCTATTGGTGGATCTGGGTCGTTACATCTAGTTCGTAAGTACCAAAAATGTATCAATGTTCGAGTGATTCACTGAGACCGATAGAAACTTTGGAAGTTACTTTTTCAAGCAGGTCTCACATTCTGTCGTTAATTAGTGAACTTAGGACTATTCCTCTATTGTCCACGGAAATTAAATACACTAAGAGTAAAAATGACGTGGAAATAAAGAAATACCTACGTGTCCACCGAAATTAAATACGCTAAGAGTAAAAATGACGTGGAAATAAAGAAATACCTACGTGTCCACGGAAATTAAATACACTAAGAGTTGGGAATCCTTTCAATAAAATCTTCATTCAATTTATCAACAGCCAATAGTAAGAGACCATCTCTCATTGAATTTATGTAGAAAGTAGCAATGGTTCTTTATTGATCGCCATTAATGCTTGACCTTTGAGTTTTCGTCTTTTCCGGAGCCTTCCTTCCTTCCTTCCTTCAATGGCCGCAACGGTGCTGCAGATGCTTTTCTTTGTTCTAAAGCAACCAAGCTCCACCTAAATCACGAATTTTCTCAACGCTCTGAAAGTGGAGAAACAAACAACTCGCTTGCTCTACTTCTTCAATCTCCAAGCGTTTCAATGAAAACAACATGTGGAAATTTTTAGAAGATTGTTCTTACTAAGGTAGATGGTCGAAGTTGAAATTTCTTCCAAGATTACGTGGCTCTGTTCCTTCTCTTTCTCTGGTTAGGGTTTTTAGTGCGTTGTCATTGCTGGAATCTCTGCTCTGCAGCTTGCGGTTGAGGTTGCTTTCTCCAGTTTCTTCGATTGCGTTCTCGCAAGTCGTTGGTATGGATTTGCTTCGGTTTCTTGTAAATTATTGAAGCTTTTGTTTACCAATTTTGTTTACTATTCATCTGAGATTGGAACTGTGCTCTTGCAAGTTTAGTTTTGCGAAATTATCGTGCGCTTGACTGTCGAGAGATGAAATTGTGGTTATTGAGTTGTTTGGTTTGTAGTAGTTGGAGTTTTGGATTGATGATACCTTTCCATGTTCTGTGAATTTGGACTCCTTGTTATGATTGAGTTCATTGTCATGTTCATAGTCGAGTGGTAATTAGAGGAAAATTGCGTGATTATCAGCTGAATTGGCCTAGAAGTAATGGGACTATGAACTACTTGAATACATGAAACAGAAATTGTTGTTTAATATTCCACTTTTAACTCTGTTCTTTTTCATATTTGGTCAAAATTTTCACTTAATGTAAAGCTATTGGTGATTGAAAGTTGACTTGGGGATGCACATATTGACATTTATTGGTTCATAACTCTCATTTTTTTGGTTCATAACCCTTTTGGTTGATCTTCCATTTTGATACATGAATCGTGTTGATTCATGTATGAAATTAATGCTTCTATGTCTATATAAAGGGTTTTCTAGGTGGGTTGAGAAGCATTGAGTTTAATTGACATTTTTGTATTTGTTGGGTGACATTTGAGAGAAATTTTGTTGAAAGACTTTGTAGTGTGAGATTGTGAAAGTGTGAGAGTGTGAGATATACACTTTGTAAACACTTTGATTATTGAGATTGGTTGCTACCCGTGGATGTTGGATAATTTCTTCTCTCCGAATCACGTAATTTTTTGTGTCTCGTTGTTTAATTTCTATTTGAGGGTGTGTGAGTGCGATCGATCTTGCTTCCACTTCCGTTACAACCATGAATGTTCCTCCTATTAAATTCTCAATATTTTTCTAATTCCCTTTACTCAAAATGCACGATGTTATCTCTGCATATCAGACTAGAAGCATAGAATGAGTGGTACTTAGAGAGACTCCCAAGTTTTTGTAGATTATGTGGTGGCTGTTGGATTAATGTTGTTCAGAATTTGCGCACATATATTGTTACTTCAGTAATCGTTCTACTTGCAGTAAGTAGTCTTTCATCATAGAGAATTCTTCTCTCTTTTACATAAATTCCTTGCCCTTTTCCTTAGATATCTTTGTACTTCGCCAATTGGATAATTGAGTTATATATTACTGTATGTAGGATGACTTATGGCAAATGTTGGTGAAGATGAGCTTGAATGGATTGAAAGAGTGAAATCAGGAGGGAATGTTCCATTTCTTGGTGCAAATGCTGACCATTCAAATTGTTGGGGTTCTCCCCATGGGGACAAGTTCCTGGTGAGAGGTCCAGAGTATTTTTCAACTAAGGTGAAAGTTCCTGGTGGCGAAACGCTTCTAAAACCTCTCGGTTTCGACTGGATAAGGAGTTCTGCAAAGATTGGAGAGATATTGAACCATCCAAACAGTCGTGTTCAGAAGGCTATTAAGGATTCATTTCCTACAGGTCCAAGGCCTTTTATCTGGGCATTTAATCTACAACTTCCAAGCAAAGAGAATTACAACATTGTCTCTTACTTTGCATCCACAGAGCCCATTACCAAAGGCTCCTTGATCGACCAGTTCCTTAAAGGTGACGACCAATTCAGAAACTCGAGGCTTAAAATGATTGCTGATATTATAAAAGGTCCTTGGATTGTCAAAAAGGCTGTTGGGGAGCAAGCGATATGCGTGGTCGGGCGTATGCTTTCGTGTAAATACATCGTAGGTGACAACTTTTTTGAAGTTGACATCGACATTGGATCGAATATTGTGGCGAAGGCCATGTTTCATTTGGTGTTTGGTTACTTCACAGCCATGACAACTGATGTAGCGTTTCTCATTGAAGGCAAAACAAAATGTGAGCTTCCTGAACGACTTCTTGGGTGTTTTAGATTCTCTGATCTGAATCCTGGTTCAGCTATGCCAATGGAGCCATCTATTTCGTTGGAGAGTGATGCTACCAGTCTGCAATCTTCTATGGCTACAGGGCCGTGGAAATCAGTTGGGTAAGGTATTTCTACTTTACTCATCGATTATTGATTAAGATTTGCTGAGCCATCTATTTCGTTGTATATTTTAATACTCAATGCTCCTGTCATTTATCCTGATGTTTCTCTTTGTTACAACTTGTACTTAATTTGAAATCAGCGTTATTTCTCATGTGTTTATTTTTTTTGTGGTCAAAGCTTTAATTCTCCATATTCTATATTTATTGTACTAAGAAAAGAAAATCGGTGAATTATTGAAGCAAGTAAAAAAAAAAAAAAATGAAGCTGTTTCTTCCTTCCAACTTTTGAAGCATTTTTGTGGTATTAAAATTATGGGAGTTATTGGATCAATTTCTTCATTCCAGTTTTTGAAGCATTCTTTGTGGGATTTTCAAGATTATGGGATTTGAGTATTTCTACCTTTGTCAACAACACCATCTAAAAAATAATGGGCCGTTAGCCCAAACATTCTTGCAGCAGGTTATGGGCCGTTGGGCCGAGGACAATCAAAGCCGTTTGTGCTTTGGGCTTTCGGAATTGGAATTTGCAAATGAGATGTTTGGGCCTGAGTTCTTGGAGCTTGATGCGTTGAGCCGTGGGCCTTAATATGGGCCTGGGCTCACCCCCGTGAAGCATGAAATAGCACCCACAGCCAAGTTGTGGGCTTTGGAATTTGGAATTTGGAATTTGAAGATGAATTTTTTGGGCCTGTGTTTTTGGAGCTTGATGCGTTAGGCCGTGGGGCCTTGTAGTTATGGACCCATTTTAATTGGGCCCAGTTTGGGACCATGATTTCAGCCCTGTGCAGCAGACATTGCACTTAATGGGCCGTGGGCCCAAGGACGAATTTGGAATTTGAAGATGAGTTTTTTGGGCCTGTGTTCTTGGAGCTTGATGCATTGGGCCGTAATCCTTACGCTGGGCCTGCTGATGGACGTAAGTCCCCGAATTATATCGATTTTCAAAGAATTCTTCAATTTTAATGAAATTTAATGCTATTTTTGTCTCATAATAAATTTATACGAGATTTATCCACTAATTTTAACAAAAAAGATAAAAAAAAATTGAAAAATAAAATGTATCCCACGGCAGAAATGGTAGTACTGCTAGTGTAGAAAATATTTCGTAATTTGTTTAATAACACCCATAAACTAAATTATTATTATTATTATTTTTTTAAATACCCTTATCTTTATAAAAGTATTTTAAAGCTAAAAAAAAGTCTAAATATTGTTTCAATTTTTACTAATTTAAAGAAAAAACATTAAAAATAACAGTTTTAGATTAAGCATAATATATATATAAAAAGTCAAAGTAAAAAGCAAGTATAGGGATTCTTCGTACTCGAGTTTTAATTCGAGCGATTTCGTTTCTGCGTTCTGTTTCTCCGGCGACTCGCGGCCTTGATCGGAAAACAATGCTCTTTCTCTGTACATTCACAACCAAACTCTTCGCCTGCTGACTGCTTACGATGGACGTAATTGTCTCCTCCGCCGTCGAAGAAATTTGCTCACAGGGTCAGAACGGACTCACTCTCCGCAATCTATGGTCCAGGCTCGAACCCTCTCTCTCAGCTTCCGGCCTCGACCTCTCCAATGGTGTAAAGACTGCTCTCTGGACCCAACTCCTTAGCATCCCATCCTTGCAATTCGATGCTGGCAAGGTGAACTATGATGCAAAGGACCCATCTATCCAGTCTTTCGAAAACGCTGAAAGGTTGAATGTGAAGGTTATGGGCAAAGAGTATTTGAGGGATAACTTTGTAGGGCTCTACAATGTGCGATCAGCCAGTTCCAACATGTCCGCCCATCAGAGACGTGTCCTTGAGCGGCTCGCTATTGCTAGGTACGCTCTGTGTAGGCTTGATTTGGCTTATTCTGCAGTCTTCATTTGTCGTGCATGTATATGTGATTATGAATTTGGTGTTTGTTTATGAGATGTTATGTTTACGTTTCCTGGGTCTCATTTATGGATATCTACGATCAAACGTTTGTTTGTCATTTTTAGGCCCATCCACTAAGGCAACAAGCTATGAAATATTTGAATTAGTTGTAACCGGTTATCTAGTACTCTAATTACCTAGGAAAAGTAATATCCAATAAATAACTTGCAGAAAAAATGGAGTGACGCAAAACCAACTTGCTAAAGAATTTGGGATTGAAGGAAGAAACTTCTTTTATGTAGTGAAAAGCCTTGAGTGTCAAGGGTTAATTACGAGGCAATCTGCAGTTGTCCGAACTAAAGAAGCTGTAAATACTGGGGAGTTGAGAAATAGCCCAATTGTGAGTACCAATTTGATGTACTTGCACCGATATGCAAAGCATTTGGGCTGTCAACAGAAATTTTGGATTACTGTGGAAGAAAATAATATTGAGCAGCTTGGAGACCCAGTAGAAAGTGCCGCTGATGAAGATGGTATGCCTGTAAAGTGCATCAAGGAAGACGTGTTTGTGAAGGATTATTTACCAAAAATGGAAGCTATATGTGATAAACTTGAAGCAGCCAATGGAAAGGTGAACTTTCTTTATGTTTTGCAGCTATATCAATGACTTGTGTACAGTGAACACATTTGATGATAGATATTGTAGAAATTTTGGATTACAGTGGAAAAAAAATAGTCCTAATTGCATTATTACTTTTGTTGAAGGTTCTTGTTGTTTCTGATATTAAGAAGGATCTTGGTTATACTGGATCTTCTTCAGGGCATAAAGCTTGGAGAGAGGTTGGATTTTATTTGCACTTCCCTGCCGTTATGTTTTGATCTACCAATTTTTTGTTGTTAAATTTTTTTCAAGGCTCCAACTTCTAAAACTTTTTTATGTTCAAATATGCTGCCAGGTCTGTAATAGATTGGAAAGGGCTCACATTATTGAGGTGTTTGAGGCTAAAGTGGACAATAAGGTAATTTTGGTATTTTTTTTTAAAACTTGTCTTTCTAACATTACAACGTCTTCCTTTTTTTTATTTTGAACATAAACTATTTTACAATTTTCTTTTACTATCTATGGAACAATGTATCACTTTTCCAAGGATTTTATTGATGTTAATCTTATCTTCCCTAGCAACTTTTATACATTTTTACCAATTGATATTATGTAGGATATCCAAAAGATACATGTTTAGGGGGGGGGGGGGGTTTTTNGGGGGGGGGGGGGGGGGGGGGGATTCTTCACGTAGTTGTTTTGGGATAAGAAAATTTGCTATTTGAAAAGTTGCATAGATGATTACTATAAAATCCCCTGTAGAAGTAGAAGCCCAAATACTGAAAATGAAGAATGAAAGAATTAACGAAACAAGACCACCAGAAATTCTTTCTTAAAAGGTATCCATCGAAGGTGGAGGGTGAAGTGGAGAGAGCATATTTTCAAATTTAATTTAATTTAATTAATTTTTTATTTATTATAGCCATATTGTCATTTGTACTTGTTGGAAATATTTCACGTTTTTCTTGGAGGGATGCTCGTTTTTGGGCAATCATCACAGTGGAGGCTTCTCTTATAATTCTCTTTTCCACTTCTTTATGCATCCCCACTTGGGTGCCCTTCATTCCTCTCCTCTCTTTGGAAGGTCAAGATCTCAAGAAGGTCAAATTCTTTGCTCATTAGTTGCATGGAAAAGTCAACACAATGGATCATATTCAGAAACATTCTTCCTTTTTTTTGAGGCAATTATGTTCTATCATTGTAGAGGAGGTTTTGAGGATCTTGATCAGATCATTTGGAGTTGTCATTTTATTGGCTTCTATCTCTCGAGATTTTCTTAATTTCCGTCTAGGTTTGATAATTCTGGATTAGAGGCTCTTTTTTTATTGGACTCCTCCCGTTCGACTGGGTTTTGAGGATCTTGATCAGATCATTTGGAGTTGTCATTTTATTGGATTAGAGGTCATTATGTTGTTCTATCATTGTATATTCTTTCATGTTTCTCAATTAAAGCTTGGTTTCGCATACAAAATAATCAAACTGTGTTTTTCGACTGTGTTCTCTTTGTTGGACCTTGGTTTCACTCCTTTTCTCATTAATGTAATTGTTTTCCTTGGGAAAAAGTTATTGTCACTTGTTTTTCTTAACATTCTAACTCTGTAAAGTGGAATCTCATGTTTCATTAAATCTTACCCGCATTTATGTTCTTTTCCTTTGTAAACAGCTGACCTTTACGTTTATTTCATTTGAATACAACTCTTTCGCATTTTCACAGTTTGATTGTTGTCTACGTCTGCTAAAGAAGTTCTCTCCAAAGTGTTTTGAGACAAGTGCTCTTGGGGGAGATGATAGTTCTGGTTATAAACATCATATGAAATTTGGGAGGAAATGTCAAGTAACTGATCAACTCGCTGAGCTTGCTATAGAGCATCAAATCTATGATATGATTGATGCTGCTGGCTTTGAGGGCATAACAGTGATGGAGGTGTGTTATTTACTTCTTGAATATTATAGGACTGCAATTTTTTGTTTTGTTTTTTTCTTTAGATTCATTGCCTTTTTATCAGGATATTGAAACATGAAAAAAACTTGAGATTTCATACGATAACGAGGCATTTTCTTCTGAATGTTTTTAGCATGTTTCAACTTTTCTCTCCACTTCAGTAGTTCATCTCGTCATAAATTAGCATCAAATTTACTTCATAATGTTGAGGCTTTGGGGATACATTTTTCGATACAGAAAGATGGCGTCAGTCTTGTAATATCATTGAGGCATAATCTTTGAAGGCAGAAACATAGAATCATTGCATTTGATCATAACCAAGTCACAATGTCTAAACTGCATTTATTATTTTGCTCTCTATTGTTTGACTCACCTGTTAGATAATGAATTCAATGTCTTCCCCGGGTTTGAACCCCCTGGTATTGTTTCGATTTAGTTGTTATGAAGTAAGAACTTTGTTTCCTTTCAGCCATTAATCCCATTGTTTTCTGTGGTGTGCAGGTTTGTAAGAGGCTTGGAATTGATCACAAAAGAAACTATGGCCGACTTGTCAATATGTTTACTAGATTTGGAATGCATCTTCAAGCTGAAACTCACAACAAATGCAATCTTTATCGAGTGTGGACACGTGGGAATTTCAAGCCTGAATATAATAGTCAATTTTTTCATAAATCAAAAGATGCAAATAATGAAATTGAAAATTGTATTAATCATACTTCCAGTGTAAATGATTCTAAGAAGTTAGCTGTAACAACTTCTCAAAGTAGCTTTGCAAAGGCTGAAGATGCAAATTTGAAAGTTGACAGTGCAAGTCGCAGAACAACAGGGGATGGAAAAATGAAAACTGAAGTTAATGATAAGCTGCATGGCGATCATGAGACTGACCTCAGAGTTATCCATTTGCCACAAGAGTCAGTTTCTATGCCAACATGCTCCAATCCTGATGTAGAACCCTGTTCAGTGAATGCAGGCGTTGAAACAAACTCTGGATTAATAACACCTCCAGCGGCTCTGTTAAAATCATCAGTTTCTGTATCACATCAGAAGTATCCGTGTTTACCTCTTACTGTGGGTAGTGCTAGGAGGGAGCAAAGAATTCTTGAACGGCTACAGGTTTTCTCAATGATTTACATGTTAAATTTGCATTGCTTACTGTTTTAACTCTGTAATTAGAGAGAAATTGACCGATTTTACAATTTCACATCGTCTCTAAGTTCAATATGTCTGGACAATTTTCCAGATACGTACCAAACAGGTTTACGCTCTTTGTCTAAAATAGTATTCCCATATTTTTTTCCCCTGTAGGATGAGAAGTTTGTTTTGAAAGGCGAGCTTTTTAGGTGGATTGTTGATCAGGAGACAGACAAAACCACAACAACAGATAGAAGAACTATTTTCCGAAGTATAAACAAATTGCAAAGTGAAGGACACTGTAAATGCATAGACATCAATGTCCCTGTTGTCACAAATTGTGGCCGTACTCGTATCACCCAGGTGATTCTGCATCCTTCTATTGAGACTTTATCTCCTCAACTTCTATGTGAAATTCATGATAAAATGAGGTCATTTGAAGCCCAAAGTCGTGGTCATAACTCAAAAAAGGCGAAGAGGAAAGTGTTGCTTCCTGTATTAGAAGGTGTCCAAAGGACACAGCACTATATGGATCCTGACATTGCTGCAGTACGATCAGAAGCCATGCGTGCAAATGGATTTGTACTGGCAAAAATGATCCGTGCAAAGCTGCTTCATTGTTTTTTGTGGGATTACCTAAACTGTTCGGATGATTCTGGTGGTACTTCCTCATCTGAAAGATTTGTCCATGATCTGAAAAATCCTCATACTAGCTACAAGCCATTTTTATTAGAAGACGCAATTAAGTCGATCCCAATTGAGCTTTTCCTTCAAGTTGTTGGGTCTACTAAAAAATTTGATGATATGTTGGATAAATGTAAGAGGGGTTTGTCACTTGCTGACCTTGCTCCTGAGGAGTACAAGCATCTGATGGATGCTAATGGTACTGGAAGGCTCTCGGTGATTATTGATATTTTACGGCGTTTGAAGGTAAATTTCATGGTCACTTCTAATATATGAGTTCACAAGGTCAATAAGTTATTAATGAAATACTTGCACGTATTAAAATTTCAAGTTTATTGTAATTTACTGTAACAAAAAATTAGGAAATGCTATGTTTCAGATTTCAATAGCCCTTGTTCATAGGTATTGTAAGATTCATTGTCTTCACATTCGGTCTATGTTTTTTCTGTTAGAAACAAATATTTCATTAGTAATATGGAAGTACAAAAAGGGAGGAGCTCCCAAGCAACTGGATTACAAAAAATCCTTTCATTTTTTTTCATAAGATCTCTTAAGCCTCTGCGAAAGGAAAGAAAAAACCCTTTACACCAGCCAAGAGCCGAAAAAACCCTTTACACCAACGAAAGGAAACAAATATTTCTTATTTCTGAAGGTTCTGTTGTTCCTCTCCATCCATCTGTACCAAAGAAAAGCTCTGATCATACTAGAGGGACCCTCTCCTTTTGAAAGGGTGGCCTTCCAGGATAAGATGGAAAGCAAAGGAAATTTTGGTGTGGAGAGGGGTCTGCCATCCAAAAGAAACAAGAACCCAATTTCAAAACTTGCTAGCAAATTCAAAAGATATGAATTAGGTTCCTGAATTTCTCATGCACTAGAAGCAGCAGCTAGGTGAGGTAGTGATACTCGGGAGCCTTTTGTGAAGGGAATCATGAGTGTTGATGGAGTTAGGGCTGAGGTTCCAGCAGAAAAACTAGATTTTTCTTGGGATATTTGTCCTCCAAATTCTATCGTATAGATATTGAAGCTGTGTGTTTTCGTTGGGAGGAGGATTATTGAATAAGTGCCTCATCGAGAAGCTTGTAGTATTTCTTAGCCATACCCATCTATCTTCAATGAAGGATAGGCCCTTTATCAATTTTACATATGGATTTAGCCTTGTCCATCTCAACAAATGTCAAGATAGCAATCTATGGGCCCTTGAAGCAGGTATCCTTGTCAACTGGCCAAGACTCAAGTCTGGAAACGTCCATCAATAATTATGGGAGGACAAATAGAAACTGCAAACGAGGGACTGCATAATATAACTAAGAAAAACTTATACATGATCAGTCAGAACTTTAAGAATTAAGAATAGAACATATGGAGTTATTACAAAATTTGTAACGATTGATAAGCTCAAACCAATATTTTGAACAGAACTAAACACCATATTTTCTCAATGTTTCGATCCTTTCCTATCATGGAGAACCTATCTATCTTTGATAACCACATAGTCCATCTAGAAACGTAGCTTACCAATTATCATACCTACCCTTTTCAGAAATGGTTAGAGCAAATAGCATTTCTGATTCTGATCTCTGCTATGTTGGTTGAAAGAAAAATATAATCCAAAATAGAGAATTGATTATTCTTCAATCTTCTAAAGCTTTTATGCTATCGAGAATAGTACTTGGAACTTGTCATTTTCAGTTTGGGTTTGTTTATTTATTTTATCTTGTTATTTATACTTCCTGTAGTTTGTTTTCAAAATTAGTTAATAAAGAATTTGAGCACATTTCTTGAATTGTTTTTTCTTTCTTGTCGTGATGTCTGTCTCCAAAATTAATGACTGATTTTCAATCCTCCAAAGCATCTTAATTATTAGTTTTTTCAAAATCTTTGTTTCTCTAATCTTTTTTCATGTTAGATGTTCTAATATTTTTATATTTCGTTGTTAATTTTGAACTTGCATTTGTGTATGAAAACTGAATGTTGGTTTATAGGATCTATTACTCTGGTTGGTTTTAGATCATGAGACTCGTGATGACGACAGTACAATATGATTTGTATAGAAACATCAAGCATGATAATTATTTTTTTTGTTTGAATTCGAGCTGAAGTACCCTTACAAGTTTATTCCTTATTTCAGTTAGTTAGGTTCGTAGCTGCAAATACAGGCAATGTCAATGATTGTGGCCGTGCCACTTTAAAACATGCACTGGAGCTTAAACCTTACATCGAGGAACCTGTTTCAAAAGATGCTACTAGATCTTTGATGAATAAGTGTCTAGATCTTCGGCCAAGAATTAGGCATGACTTTACGCTGTCAAGTAGGCAAGCTGTCAATGAGTATTGGCAAACTTTTGAGTATTGCTATGCCACGGCTGATCCTAGATCTGCTCTGCTTGCATTTCCTGGGTCTGCTGTTCGCGAGGTAATTATTTAAACTTTTAGCAGCATGCCTACTAATAGTCATTTATAGTTCGAAATTAATGTAGTTTTCGGTTCTAATGATACCATCATGTCAATGTTTTCTTTTTCTCATCAGGCATTTCTTTTCCGTTCATGGGCTTCAGTTCGGGTTATGACAGCCGAACAGCGTGCTGCACTCCTGGAGCTTGTGGCAAGGAGGGATCCAAGTGCAAAACTTTCATATAGAGAGTGTGACAAAATAGCTAAGGATCTTAATCTGACATTAGAACAGGTAATATTGTTATTCGTATATTCTACTACGCAATGTACATATGGTGCATATTATACATGAAAATTTCATTGTTCTTGGTGTAGTTCGAAAAAAATATTTCCTTTAGCCTTTTGTTATGTTCTGTTTTATTTGGGGGGGGGGGGGGGGGGGGGGGATAAGAGACAATCTGAGTAAGACTAAATTACTCTTTTCAACGTCTGATTGCATGCTAAGATAAAATACTACTTAAACAAAGCCTTGAAAATGGGCAGCCGAAAGAAGAGACCTCCCCATAAAGTCTGCCAGCTAGTAAAGCCAATAATCTATGAAAAGCAACCACTTGCCTGACAATTTATAGAGCTGAGAAAGGCTAGAGATCTTAAGCAATGTCTAAAAAGTCAATTGGAAACAAACAAATTTTGTAAAGGGACGATAGATTTTTCTATCTTTTCATCTATCCATGAAATGTCTGTTTCTTTTTCCTTTTATTTTTTATTTTTTATAAAAACAATACTATCTTTTACTCAGCTCAGTAATGTTGTACTTCCCAGTAAATTCTCAAAAGAACTAGCCTTTCTTTTACTCAAATGTATTATTTTATTAAAGGTGTGCATTTCTCTCCTAAAATTTCACTTGCAGGTTCTACGTGTGTATTATGATAGGCGCCAGGAACGTCTTAACAGCTTTGATGAAGGGACAGACAAGGAGTCTAGACAAAAAATTAAAGGCCATTCATTGAGGAGAAAAAGATTACCAAAAGAGAGGCCAGGGAAGCGTGCACGGTATGATGATGTCAGCAAGCAGTCGGGTGAAGCAAGGGTCACCACGTTTCCTGAAACTTCTATTTCATCTGATGTTAAAGACAAACATTTGGCTGCTAATTCAGGAGAGCAGAACATTCCTTCGCAAGAAATTTTTGAGGATGGCGATCATCAAGAAACTGTAGAGGAATTTGTGTCTAAAGAAGAAGGCGAGGCACGCTGTTCTGTTGCCTCTTCAATGACAAAGTCAACTCGTCAAAGAAGGTTTATATGGACTGATGAAACAGATAGGTAATAAGATGACAATGACTACCTGAGATATCAACATCAACAATGAATTATAAGCTTCAATTTTTCCAACTGCAGGCCTTAGAGATTAGTATGATATTAATATGATCTCCATGAAGGAAATTTTATTAACATTTACCTTGTCTGCCAATGCATGCTTTTGGTTCTTTTTGGGGTAAACACGTTCAGTTGCTACAAGCTGTAAATTCATATTTTGTTATGAAATCCAAGCTAGTGAAGATAGCAGGATTAACCGTGTGAAAATGTTTTCTCTGAAGTATATGATAGGTTGTTGGAGGTTCTCTTCTGTACATATATGCATATGTGATTATATGATGACTTTCATAGCTTCATGTGAAGATACTCTTGAATTCTTAACGAGAAAGTGAAAAATGTTAAGTTACTTTTTAATATGATATCTTTTCTCACATGTATCTTTGCTTTTTTTGATTCTTTTGTTATCCTTTCAGGCAATTGATCATCCAATATGTCAGATACCGTGCATCTCGAGGTGCAAAATTTTCTCGAACAAATTGGTGTACTATCTCTAACTTGCCAGCACCTCCAGGAACTTGTAAAAAAAGAATGGCATGGCTGAATGGCAGTCTAAGATTTAGAAAACTTGTAATGCGGCTTTGTAACATTCTTGGCAATCATTACGTGAAGTACCTGGAAAAATCAAAGAATGCATCGGTTCATCAAGATGACCCCAAAGTGATCGCAACAAGTTCTAATGGGAAAGCTCTTAACGGGAATAGTGGTGACAGTGAACATTACAGTGAGTTGGATCTGCAGGAAGAGCAATGGGATGATTTTGATGATAAAGATGTAAAGATGGCCCTTGATGAGGTTCTTCATTACAAGAAAATGACAATGTTGGAGGACTCAAAAAGAGTTGGATCTGTCTATGGTGACTTTTTGGATGCAAATGTGTGTGCTGAAGAGCATGTTTATCAACTTTTTCTTTTTCCTTTTTAGAATGATACTAGGCCTAATTGTTTGTTTTGCCCTTGGTTTGTCCAGGAATCTGGATTTACGTCTGCCACTCAGAGTGCAGACCTGGGAGGAGAGCAATCTCAATTTTCTAGGGGAAGATCAAAGTCAAGAAGCCTTCATCGGCGGTTGATGAAGATTTTGAATGGCAGGCATGTCAGCAAAGAAGTATTTGAATCATTGGCTGTTTCTAATGCTGTTGAGCTATTTAAGCTTGTTTTCTTGAGCACCTCAACTGCTCTAGAAGTACCTAATCTCCTTGCTGAAAATTTAAGGCGTTACTCAGAACATGATCTTTTTTCAGCTTTTAGCCACCTGAGAGAAAAGAAAATCATGGTGAGTCTTGTGCTCAAAATAATTAGATTTTCTTTTTTCGTTACTTTCTTTAACTTTCTTTTTCTTTATCCAAAAAATCAAACGTGATATGTGAAAACCCATGTTCTTTGTCTGTTTGTCTTGCTTCTTCAATTTATACTTAAGCCTTTTGTTCCATTGTGCTATTAATTCTCTTTGAATGATTTTGTTTGTGTCTTAAATAGCCATTATTTAGATTTTTTCCCTTATTTCTCCTATGGCACTCAATGTATTTGTACACCTTGATTATAAGCTTGTTGGCTAGATTGGAAGTTTCACCATGGCATTCTCTTTCAGAATGATTTTCTGACTTTTCTATGCGTAATACTTGTATGAATTGGGAGGTCCGTTTTTACTCCTTAGTTTTGTTTTTTAATTCTCTCCCTCTAGGAATTTGTATCCTCGAACCATTGTTTCTTTTCAGAATTTGTCTAGGCATAGGAATCAAACTCTAGAGCTTTGAAGATGAAGGCGAATTATGCCAAGGAAGTGAAAAGGCAAAGTTTGAGACAGACTGCACATAGAATATTTCGAGTGGAAATCATCAATTTCTTCCATTCTTCCTCTCTTTCACTTTCTTTTAGTGTCCACTGTTGATTTTGGATTTTAATTTACTCATGTCCACAGTTTCTGCTGAAGACATTTGCTTAAGATAATTGATTATTTGTTGTTTTTCCTCCCTAACTTGTTTGTATCAATTCATACTATACTGGCATGACATTCTTCAGATGGCTTTTGTACTCCATTTATGATGTTTGTCTGACTATATGTCGTGTCCACAATTGATTATTTGTTGTTTTTCCTCCCTAACTTGTTTGTATCAATTCATACTATACTGGCATGACATTCTGCAGATGGCTTTTGTACTCCATTTATGATGTTTGTCTGACTATATGTCGTGTCAACAATTAATTTTTCGCATTTTCCAGATTGGAGGCAACAATAATGAACCTTTTGTGCTCTCACAAAGTTTTCTGCATAGCATTTCAAAGTCCCCATTTCCAGCGAACACTGGAGAGAGAGCTTCCAAGTTTTCTAAGTTTCTGCATGAAAAAGACAAAGATCTCGTGGAGAATGGGATTAATATTCCTTCTGATTTACAATGCGGAGATATTTTCCATTTGTTTGCTCTAGTTTCTTCGGGAGAGATGTCTATTTCTTCTTGCTTGCCCGACAATGGCGTTGGAGAACCCGAAGACTTGAGAAGTTCAAAACGAAAAGTTGATAGCTGTGAACTGTGGGTGGACACTCGGGCTAAGAAGATGAAATTTGCACCAGCAGAGGGTGAAATTATTTGTCGTCGAGAAAAAGGTTTTCCTGGGATTTTGGTTTCTGTTTGTCGTACTACAATTTTAAGAACAGATGCTATGGAGCTGTCAGATAGTTGGAATTGTATTGATGACCAACATTTTGGTGGGAATGATAGATGCCACGTTTCACCTACTCACAACAGTATTTCATTTGACAATGTGGAATCACTATACGATACAGATGGGGTTGTATCTCTAGGAAATCGCTGTGAGTCAACTTGGCAAGCTATGACATCTTTTGCTGATCATTTGATGTCGGTAGGTTGTTATCAAGAACAAATGAGTGTCATCTCTCCAGAGGTCTTTGGGTTGGTTTATTCTGCAATTCAGTTGGCTGGTGACCAGGGTTTAAGCATAGAGGAAGTTTCCCAGGTGGCTAATTTACAAGGTATAGATTCCATAATTTTTGCATGTTTTTAGCTATTTTCTTTACATGTGATTTCAATGCATGAAATGAGTTAATTTTTAGGATCAGTATTGTGTTGTTACTGAAAAGCCGTATCTTATGACTGAATTAGGAGAAAAGCTGCCTCAACTTATCGTTGATGTTCTTCAAACATTCCAACGAGTGCTGAAGGTTAGTATGCCTTTCGTGGTAATTTGATTGCTTATAGTATTTGTTTATTCTGTAATCATATTCCCATCTTAACGTTGGTTTATGTCCTGGCTTTATCCATTATATGGTTTTTTTGGGGTGGGGGGTAAGAAATGTGGGCTAATCATTAAACCAAGAACAGGGCAAAGTATCTTTTTTATGCTTTATAGGCATTAATCGATCTGCAACTTATACACTCGAGCAGTGTTTCAGGCCTTGGGCGAGAGGGTAAAAGAAAAAACGACACCACACCACCACCTTGAGGGGCCATTTTTGTTTTAGAAAATCATTTCAAGTTGAAAAAAAGAAAGCTTGAAAAGAAACATCGACACTGATGGCTCATTACGAATTTTCTATTATTATGTGTAGTGTAACATTGTACAACCACTAGGTACTAACCTAATCGATTTCCTTGAGCTTAAAAGTTCTGGGCTAGCTTTTGTATTTTGTGGTGGGATGTAGAAAGTTAGGTTTGAAGTTGAGTTATTTTAATTTTGCATTTTGTACAGGTGAATTCATTTGACAGTATTCGAATTGTTGATGCTTTATATCGTCCCAAGTACTTTTTGACATCGATATCTGGTTCGAATCGAAACCGTGCTACTCCTTCATCAGTCGATATGCTTGGAAGAAGTGATGGCCAATTGGTTTTCCATCCAGAAAACTACAACATTGGGGAGAAGAATCCAGATAATCACATGTCTGTTGCTGCAAATTCCCAGATGGAAAATAAAATGGTTGTTGGTGAGGTGCACAAAGTAACGGTTCTCAATCTTCCTCCAGAAGTTGATGACAACACAAAGGAAAGTCAAACTAGCAGTATGCATCAACGCAATCCCAAGGAGAAAACCATTTTAAACACAGCAGGGAATGAGAACGGATTGTTTTGCGCCTCTTCTGATGGTTTGAATATGCCAATACTCCCATGGATAAATGGAGATGGGACGACTAACAAAATTGTCTACAAGGGTCTTAGAAGGCGGATCTTAGGAATTGTAATGCAAAACCCAGGAATTCTGGAGGTATGATTTTCTCATTTTCTGATCTTATATCTTTCAGCAACGATTTGTTGGAGGTATGAATCCTGTTGCTTGATCTTGGCTCGTTTTCTGTAGTACCTCTTTCTTATAAATGATCTCTTGAAGAACATTTATATGGAACAAACATCTAAGTTCTTTGCTTGGAGGGAGACTGAGAAACTCTTTTGCTTTCACAAGTCAGATGGGCTACAGCAGAATTCACGAGTGATTTGAAAAATTAAAATTTAGATGAGCAATTTGGAACGAAAAGTGTCACCCGAATGTGGAATTGTATATATGGTTTATTTATGATCGAGGGCTTTTCAAATGCTAATTGGGTATGTAAAAAAGATAAGAGATCGAACTTTCGGACAATGAGTCTTATCCGCGCATTGCATGATTATGAGAATAATGTTGTATTAGTTACTTGTTAGGCTGTTCATCTCACACTGCATTATTTTGAAAATAATGAGTCTTCTTCTTGTTACCTTGTCATCCTTTCATGCTTGTTTATTTTAGTAGAATGACTATATTGTCCTTAGTTGGTTATAATCAATGTCTTAATGCTTCTTTTTTTTCGTTTTTTTTTCTCTGCATTTTTTGTTAGGTTGCGATTATACGACGGATGAACGTCTTGAATCCCCAGGTATTCTAAAATTTCAAATATATACCTTCAAAATTCCATCTGAATTCATGATTGCAATAAAAACACATGCGCATTCTTTTACAAAATGTGCCTGTTGAAGTTGATTAGTTTTCCAAATATGTTATTGTGCGAAGTATTTACTGTCACCATCTCTCCTCTCAGAGTTGTAAGAGGCTGTTAGAGTTGATGATATTAGATAAGCACCTCATAGCGAGGAAGATGTATCAACGTACATTCAGTGGCCCCCCTGGTATTCTAGGAACGCTCCTCGGCACGAGCCACAGAGACTCGAAGTTTGTTTGCCGTGATCACTACTTTGCAAATCCCATGAGTACCTCGCTGCTGTAGGTAGCCATCCCCCCCCATGCTCATTGCGCAGGTAATTTATATCAGATGCCCTTTCTTTTCCTGCACCCTCTGAAATATTTGGCTTATTTTTGTTGAAATGAAATGCAATGTTCTTAACTCTTTTTTCCCATAAAATGTATCAGAAACCATGCACTTGCATTCCTGGTTGACATATATTTTTTTCTAATGTATGATTTGCAATTTACAACCGTTCGACAAAAAGAACACGGTTAGAAACTTGTTGACGTAATCTATATAACGATCCACAACCATCTCACCCTGCTTGTTTTTGGCTTTAAACTCTGATGAATGTGTTCTCTCCTAGGTTATCTATTGAAACTCTGATGAAAAGAGCACGACGAGACTAGCACTCACGTTGCTGGAAGCTCTGTGGGATAGGCATTTACCCATTTTCGGCTGCTTGGAATCAGGTGGCATTCGTCACTCGGCTTTGCTTGTTTTTTGATTTTAACATGTTGGTGGTGATCTCTGCCCTCATTTGTTTTTGGCCGGGGTCCATTCTCTCATCCTCATTTCCGTGGCTTTGTTCGAGTCTACCCCGAGCCCCCACCCTATAGGATATATACTCACCTCTTGTAACCATGAGTTAGGAATATGCTAACAGAGATATGTTGGGAATATTTAGTGGTATATTTGTAATTATTTGAGAAGTTTTCTAGGGTTAAAGTAGCTACGAATAGACTGAGTTGGGGATTTGGGGAAGGTAGAATTTGGAGAAAAGGTGTGTAGTGAAGCCCCTCAAAAAGAGTTTACGACTGCTAATAGAGATATTAGTAGTGGTATATTTGTAATTATTTGAGAAGCTTGTTAGGGCTAACTGTATGTATTTAATATATAATCGTTATTCCCTTTGTTTCTCTTTCTTGAATTGCTCAGATTATTGTTGTTCATTATATAAATGTAAAGGAATTTTGTGATCTCTGTAGACCCTTCAGTTCTAAAGGCCTCTGTATTCATCTGTTTTGCTTGAACATATCTCATATCTAGTTGAGTGGGATTTTGCTTCTCCTTTTACGTTCTTGTTTGCACGTTTGATATGCGACGTGCTAGGGATGTAGATAGGAAAGCGTTTCGATCTCGAAAATACGTGCCATTGAGTAGAACAGGGAGAAAGGAAGCAACTTGTAATTGGAACTAAACGTACATACGCAGAATTATCGTTTTGACTGTCGAATGTCAATAGTCTCAATATTAAATCACGATTCTTGATCTTGATCTTGATAGCAGAGCATAACTATTGATAATATATTGATATTGTGAATTACAGATTGAGATTGAGACATCATGTATGATACGTGCTGCTCAAAGCCTCCCGTGCAAGTGTATACTGTCTTAACAAGTAATAAGGTAGAGAGTATTTGAAGTAACAAAAAGCACAAGAGATTTTCTTTTTGCATTGAGATATGTGAGGCTACCTGGAGAATCACCAGCGTTTCTTCTGGCATATTTGCATGGAGATATTTGTTCCTCCTCGATCAAAGAACGACGAACACGGATGAATGTTATCAATGGTAGGTAACTACTCAACTACCTAATCATTTAAGCATTAAATGCTACACCATTATCTTGATAATAGACACAAAAACAGTTTATTTTCAGACTGAAGTGGATGCTTTAAAAGTCTTTTTTTAATATTTGCGTGGAGATATGTACTCCCCTGGATCGAAGAATGATGAACACGGATGACGGGGCGATGGTGATGGTGCTCTTCGTGGATCGAAGAATGATGAACACGGAAGACAGTGATGATGATGGCAATGCAAATCACGACTAATTAGCAACAATATTATTGTTTTGTTTTGTTAATATAGACCAAAATATTGTTTTATTTTAGAATAAAGGGAATGTTTTAAAAGCTAAAAAGCATCCAAATACGAAAAGGCTTAAAGTTGAAGAACCAAAAACAAAATTAAGGGGGCATATATATATATATATATATATATATATATATATATATATATATATATATATATATATATATATATATATATATATATATGTATATATATATATATGTATATATTTCTATATTTATATATATAGCCGTCCAACAGAAAACAAAAATTAAATGAACTACCGGTAGAATTAAATAATATATTTTTTATTTTTATAGGCATGAAATTTCCGCGCCAACTACTTCTCTCCAGCGTCGAATTCCAACCCTAACAACGACCTCAATGCATTTTCTTCTCTGTCTCATTCTCAATTCTCTCGTTTTTCTCTGATCTTTCCTCCTATCGATCGGAAATGGAGGTCGACGATCGCTTTGTGGAATTGAATGCCAGGACCTGTGTGGTGTTGGGCGGTCGTGGGTTTCTCGGCCGATCTCTCGTTCTCCGCCTCTTGAAACTCGCTAAGTGGAATGTTCGTATCGCTGATTCTGCTGAATCGCTTGAACTCGATCCCTCTGAGCAGGATTCTCTCCTCTCTGACGCGCTTGTCGCTGGCCGGGCTTCGTATTTCCACGTCGATGTTCGCAATAAGGATCAGATCGTTGCAGGTGTTTCTTTCTCTCTCTCTCTGGTTGATTGTGAAACGTGGAGAAATGTTACTTTGGTTGCATTTGGTTTTTAATGGATGGAGCTAATTGAAGTGGTTTTGATTTTTTTTTCTTTTTTTGAAATGCGAAGATTCTGAGATGTTTTCCCTGGCTTTGGAGCTGGTGGAATTTTAGAGGATTCGGATTGGTTTATTGTACACATGCTTTTTTGGAGTTTGAGTTAACTTTATCCTTTTGAAAATAATGATGGATAGAATCAGAAGATGATCGGACTGTTGAGGCAGTTTCCATGAACTGCTGTTGAAGTCCGAAGAATTATTTGAATTGTTAAAAGGTTGTTAAGAGTCGAACGAAGCTTGCAACTCTAGGTTCTTGTTTCTTTCGTGCTGCGCATGACTTTTTCTTTTGTTTTTATTAATTTTTCAATTGTGTTTGTGAGTGATTTCGTTCTGGAATATTCTCTCTGTTGAATCATAATGTTCGATTGAGAAACTTCTGTTATCTATGAATTTTGTGGAAATTCTCAACTGCATCATAATAAATAAATGAATAAATAAAAATGGAACGTCTTCGATGGAGAAAAAAATTTCAGCTATCAATAGCGATGGGAGGTTTCCTGTAAAAACCTTCATCTGCTTGAAAGCTTAGAAAAAATGTGGAGAGAAGAAGAGAACTGAAAGTTCCATAGTGAATTGTTAATTTTTACGTGAGTTTATTGCCATTCTTCACTGTTATTGCTTCCATCTCTGACGCCTATTTTCTATCCATAAATATGTCGATTACTTAATTAGGTACCAGCTACTTGTATGACAGAATGATTTTTTTTTCCTTTTGCAGCTCTCAGTGGTTCTTCTGTTGTGTTTTATATGGACTATGAAGATTCACATTCAAATGATATTTATCTCTCATACATGTTTATAGTTCAAGGTATAGAAAGCCGTTAACCATTTGAAAGAACCCTTGTTATTCCGAACATATCCCACTTCAAAGAAAGATGTAATTGCCAGCATCTTGATTTCTCATTTAGGTGCCAAAAATGTCATTAATGCTTGTCGAGACTGCAAAGTAAGACGGCTAATATTTAACAGTTCAGCTGATGTAATTTTTGATGGTTCGCGTGATATACAAAATGGAGAGGAGCCATTGGCATACCCACGGAAAGTATGTTGCTATCTGAACTATTTCTCAGTCATCTATTTTGGACATCCCTAACATTCTCTTCTGCTAATCATTTCCTCATCAAGTGAGTACTATGTACAGTTTGAGGACATGTTGAGTGACCTAAAGGCTCAAGCTGAAGCACTCATCCTGTTTGCCAACGATATAGATGGACTTCTAACATGTGCACTTCGCCCAAGCAATGTTTTTGGGCCAGAAGACACACGACTAGTTCCTTTCGTGGTGAATCAGGCAAAATCTGGTTTGGCAAAGGTTTGCAAAATTATTTATGTTTTACTCCATGCTTTGTTTTAGTGCTGCATGTAAACTTCTGTAAAATCCATAAAATATTGTGGATTATTTGTGCTTTACCATTTAAATGAGCTTGCATAAGAACCATAGACCTAGTAGAAATTGGTGCCATGATACAATTCATTGTAGAAAGGTCATATATCTAATAATTAATTGAGAATAAACAATGAATTGAGAAAAAAATGGAATACAGTTAATAGAATAGCTATAGGGCCTTTTTAATATTGAAGTACTTGATGAACTCGTGTTTTCTTTTCTCAAAGTAAACTTAATGCATTGAGAATGCTTGCCTGTTAGTGTGATCTATACAAGATGTACATTGTCTACTCTTATTGAAGTAACAGAGTTTCTCATTTCAGTTCATTATAGGGAATGGCGAAAACCTGTCTGACTTCACATTTGTTGAGAATGTGACCCATGCCCATATCTGTGCTGAGGAAGCACTAGATTTTCGAATGGTGTCTGTGGCTGGAAAGGTATCGCGTTTAAAATATTGATACATGGCCTTTTCTAATAATTTTAGTGATAGGGTTCATAAGAAAGCATTTCCTTTTTATCATTATGTAGGCATTTTTCATCACCAATTTTAAGCCCATGAAGTTTTGGGAATTTATCTCTCTCATTTTGGAAGGCTTGGGTTACCGAAGGTACAGAATTACAGTCCATGAACTTGTAGTCTTTGTTGTTCTGTCGATCCCTTTCCTAATTCTTTTATGCTTGCGTTGGCATATATTTGATGAGGATACTAAGGCTAGATAATTTTTAGTTCTCATTCTCTTTCATTTGTAATTCTATCTTGCTATGTGTTCTGGCAGGCCATCCGTAAAACTTCCCTTTAAGATGGTTTGGAATGTTCTCTTGTTTATGAAATGGATACATGAAAAGTTTGGATTCAGTAGATATAATCATTCCACTTGGGCTCGTTACATTCAGCTAGCCGCGTGCACTAGAACCTTTAACTATGTTGCTGCACATAAACAACTTGGGTACTCTCCTATAGTCTCCATGGAAGTAAGTTGTAATGAAAATATACATCAGTTTCTCTTCCACTCAATATTTTTCTTTAAATTGTTTTCTGGAAAATTGTCTCCTGTTTTTCTCACTTGTCTTTGTTTACTATCCTATCTTTGATTAATTTATTGATACTTAAGACAGGATGCATATGATTATGCTGATTGAGATTTTTTGGTTTAGTCCTTTGGAAAAAAGGATTTGGTTGTAAATGAAGAACTTGAATTTTAAATTGTCTTGGGCGACCTTTGGGGGTTGTGAGGTTTGCCAACTCCCCTGTTTGTATTTGGGTCTCCCTCAAGGGAGTATACCGAAGCTTTATCTTTTGTGCAATTCAGTGGTAGAGAAAGTTAAAGATGGTTCCCGTCCTCCAAAGGGGTGATAAAAATCAAAGTTCAGCAGAATATTTTAACCCAGGGATTAACTGCCCAGTTAAAGATGGATAGTGATCATCAATGCAAAAAGCCCATATCATGTTCCTTGAAACAAACAGGCTATTATTGTTGTTTCTAGAGAATAAAGGATTAACTGGCTAAAAGCAACTCATCTTGGATTCTCTATCTTGTTGACAAGAGTGCATGCCTTAGCCTCTCTTACGGTTAATATCTTATAGAAAGTTAAAATTTTCAGAAAGGTAAAAGGCTAAGGAGCATGAATATAAATACGAAACACAGATACGACATGGGACACTGTAACACGTTATATTTAAAAATCTAGGATATAAACACGACAATGACAT